CCTCTAAAGCTGTAAAGCCCCAGTTAACTGCTTTCTTTTATATAAGACTTTCAGTATTCATGGTGTCTCTTCACAGCAATAGAACAGCGACTAAGATACTAGTGATGGCTGGGAGTCACCACCATGCTAGATCTAGAGTCAAGGAGCAGGAGAGTTACTCAACCATATGGAAGGCCTTCCTGGCCACAGCTGTGGCCTTCAGTGGATGACAGCTGACTCGCCAGCCTGTGGTGACTCAGCACACGGAGAGCCAAACAATGAAGCCGGTGACCTCCTCTTCCCAGTCTCCTGCCCATGCCCCAGCAGCCAAACACATCCAGAGGCAAAGGACAAGGACACCACTGCTGTTGCCCACGGGGTGAGTCAGCTTCTTGGGACACACAGAGAGAGGGGAAGAAAGACAGACAGAGAACCTGTTCAACTTGCAGCTACGCAGGCTGCACACGAGGAAGGGGTAGTCTCAATCTTGCAACTTTCCTTAAGAGACATTTCCTGTTTCTGAAAGTAAATCAAGGGCTCCCTGTGACAAACTGAGGCAAGCTGGAAGCCATGTAGAATCTGAGTTGCCTTGCTGGAGAAAACCAGAGGTTATTTAGTGAGTCACTCTTGTACGATGAGAATATTTTTAAAATAACTCTGGGGGGTGTATTATGATGTGTATGCCAAGCATGAAAACTTTTCTGAAAGCCAGAACTCCTGCCTTGGTTTTTGCTAGTAAACCCCCAACTTATAGAACTGGAAATGGCAGCTTGGGAAGGATGGGTATTGGGCAAATTTTTTGGTTGTTTTTCTTAGAAACTACCCAGAAGGAGCAAGCACACTGAGAAATGGAAGAGCAAACACCACTTTTGGCATCACCAGGTGAAACTCAAACCACGCAGACAGCAGAGGGAGTGGGTCCCAGTGGGCAGGCAGGCTGTCCAGAGGTGTGTTCCCAGTTCCTGACTTCAGATAAGGCTGGTGGACATTCCAGGGTAAAGAGCTTGGAGGAGAGGATGGCAAGCCAGGTCTAAGGGAATACGAAGAGAACCACACATCGGCAGGTTGGTCCCAGTCTGCCAGCAAGTAAACCATCGTGTAGCCTAGAATTTGGCTTTAGATGGTACAAACTAATGTAGTTCACCACCTAGACCCTGATTTGTGAGGGAGAGGGAGAGAACAGAGACAGGGGGGAGGACAGGAATGGGGCAGGGACAACACAGTGAGATTTTCAAAGCTGTGACCCCAGTGACCTACCTCCTCCACCTAGTCTCCACCTCCTAAATTGTCTCTCTCCTAATGCTGCCACCAAATCACGAATCCACCATTAGGTTCATTCATGCCATAGGCCAGGATCTCATGGTACAGCGGCCTCCCTCAGGTTCTTCCCCTGAATACTGCTGCACTGGGGACCAGGCCTTCAACACGTGAGCCTTGTAGGGGTCACTTCATGTCCCAGTCATAATACACACACGCACACACACGCACACGTACACACGCATGCACGCATACGCATATGCATGCACACACACGCTTGCACGCAATGCATGCACTTGTGCACACACACGCACACCAAAGGCCTTTGTAGGTGTAACTGGGAGGAGATGAAAGTGGAATGGTAAGACTGGCCACTTAGGGAAGGAGAGCATCTGCACACAGAAGAAACAAGAACTAAATGCTCAACCGGCACAGGGAATCACAGAAGACAGGGGCCGAGGAAAGACTGACACCTGTATTTAGGAAAAAGGACTTTGTATCCTTCTATAAGAATTTCCATAATTAAGAAAATTGGGCACGCCGGGCAGTGGTGGCGCACGCCTTTAATCCCAGCCCTCGGGAGGCAGAGGCAGGCGGATCTCTGTGAGTTCGAGGCCGGGCTGGACCGACAGCCTCCAAAACAATACAGAGAAACCCTGTCTCGTAAAATCAAAAAAAAAAAAAAAAAAAAAAAAAAAGAAAAGAAAAGAAAAGAAAAAGAAAATTGGGCACACTTTACAGAAAATTCATAGAAAATGAAATTCAAATGCCTCCACATTAGGAGATGTTGCTAACCTGGAATAAAAGAAACGCAACGAAAAACATTGTTTAAATATTTTATGAGCATGCATATATGTATGTGGATTCCTGTCTGTGCGCTGGTGTTTGTGTGTATGCTTGTGGGGGGCCAGAGGTCGGCATCACCCACTCTCCATCTTACTTTTTTGAGACAGCCTCTCAGGGAACTTGGGATTTCCTGGTTTGGCTAGATTGGCTGCTAGCAAGTCCCAGGGTCCTCCTGCATCTGCCTCCCCTGGGCTGAGATTACTTGCGTGTGCTGCCGCTCCCAGCCTTGCATGCGGGGAGGAAGGGATTTCGAGTCCTCATGCTTGTGTGGCAAGCACTATCAGCTAGGGTGTCTCCTCAGCCCTTAAAACGTCCTTTAACTGAATTGATAGATTTCATTTCTGACCTAACCAGAGGAAGCCCACTACAGCCTGTGCCTTATTGCAAAAGCATCTGCCAAGTACAACAGTAACAAAGTAAGTGACAGAAAGTGGACAGGACAGGGAATTCACTACCTGCTGGCTTGGATCTGAAGACTGGCTGAAAGGGGGACTAACAACCAGAAACGACCAGAAAACTAGCCGGAGAAATGTTAGCATCCAACCACAAGGCCGCTGGGAGCAAGATCAAGTGTTGTGAACTACTCATGGTCTTCTGAGATTAGCCTGGCCAAGAAGCTGACACCTAAGACAGGGAGAAAAACAAACTGTCCTTCGAGAGCCGTGGCTCTCAGCCTTCCTAAAGCTGCGCCCCTTTAATGCAGTTCCTCGTGTGGTGACCCAAGGGCACTAACAGACCGGGACAAGGCAGACGTGGCCCTGATGGGCTTTGCCTTTTTCTCCCTTTCCCTCTTCCTTGCTAAAAGCTGTGAGATTGCATTTCTAAAGTTAGTCCCCACGGTACATGCCCTTATTTGGCCACTAACTCATTCCTGAGATTAAACGCCAAGGTCCAAAATTCAAAATTCATTATTTGGCTAAGGTGTCCAATCAGGACTTACTTACCAACCCACCCTAGCACAGACTCCTTTTCTCCTTGAAAATCCACTCCTGCCAAAACCACCTGCTTGCTGCTGCTGATTGCTCAGCTGGAACCTTTGTGGCCCCTGTTCAGCCCCCATCCCTGCTCCAGGCAGGTGTGCCCTTGTTCCTTAAGGGTGACAGATCTCCTCTGTGCTGAGAATTTGGTGTCTGAGTGTGTCCTTTACTAACTCCGAGGGGACCACACTCCCTTACTTATTTTCATTGCTGTTCCGTAACCCATTTTGCTACTGTTATGGATCATACTATAAATATCTGTGTTTTCTGTGGTCTTAGGCCATCCCTGTGAAATGGTCTTTTGACACCCCCCCCAAGGGTTTGTGGCCCACAGGTTGAGAATCACTGTTCTAGGGTGCGCAACTGGAAAGTGGGGCTCCTGGGAACAGCAGAGGACGGAGCTTTGAAAGGAGTGTTGAAGGGGCCTAATTCTGGGTGGTTTGCTATGTAGCAAAGGAGACTTAAGACAGCAGTCCGAGCCTGTCCTAGCCTGCTTCAATGAAACGGACCAGTTTGGGAAGGGAAAAGGATTTATTTGGTTCACAGTCCATCATCAAGGGAAGCCAGGGCAGGTGCTCAAGGCAGGATCCCGGAGAAAGGACCAGAGGCAGAGACCATAGAAGACTCTGCTTACTGGCTTGTTGAGTTTGCTTTCTCCGGTACAACCCATAGTGGGCTGGGCCCTCCCACATCACCAAGAAAATGCCCCACAGACAAGCCTATAGGCCATTCCTCAATGCCCCTTCTTCTCAGGCAACTGCAGCTTGTGTCTGGCTCACAAAAAAACAAAACAAAACAAAACAAACAAACAAACAAAAAAACCCCACAACTCCTCCCCAGCAGGCACAAGGCCCTGGATTGAATCTCCAGTGTAAGGATCATCTGTGCAAAAAGGATTTTAAAAATCCATTCAATACTTCCAATAAAATCCCCAAAGATGAAGCTATATACAAGGATGAATGTAAGTTCAGGGGGGTGGGTAAAATAGGAACCCTGTAATATCATTCCACAAGCCTGCTGAGCCATCACTTGGCTCTAATAAAGTTCATGAACGATTTGCCTTGGTTTTCAGAGAGGAGAAAACTTCAGGACCCTGCTGACGCACAGCCAAGAACTGCTCCTTAAGGCAGGCAGGGAGGGGGCTGGGAGAAACAGCCTCCCACCAGGCACACCTCCAGGGGTGGGGTTGGAGGCCTTGTCTCCACTGCCGCCCAGAAGCAAGGAAATCAACCCTGTTTGGCAAGGGCCAGGAACCGGAAGGGTGTGGAGGATGGAGGCCAGAGGGCAGAGGTGGGACGGAGTCTGAGAGTTCTAGGAAGTGCAAGGGGATAGGGAACCCTATGGATCACTGCAGGTGAGGTTTCAGTTATAAATCGGATCTGAGCTTCTCATCGCCTGGTACAACTAAAACGAGACTTGGTGCTCGCACTGGATTCAGGTCTAAGAGGTTAAGAAAGAACCTAGTCCCTTCCATTCCCTACCCCGCCGCCTGGCAGAGCTAGCCAGCGAGCCCTAGCCGCAATCCCACCACAATGACAGCCAGCGAGGCCCCGCCCCTGCCGCCGAGGCTCTACCTCTGCCTGGTTCCAATGACAACAGGCCAGGCCCCGCCCCAAGGGAGGCTCCGCCCCGCTGGCCGAGGCCCCGCCTCCATCCCGTCGCAGCCGCTCCATCGCCATCCCACCAGTGACAGCTGGAGAGGCCCGCCCATTCAGCTCTGCTCCATCCCACCGAAGTGACAGCCCTCCCCTCAGGACCCCGCCCACCCCGCCGAGGACCCGCCTCCCATTCCGGAGCGACAGCCAGTGAGGTTTCGCCCTGCACAACCCCTCCTCCCCGATTTTACAACTCTGCGAGGCACCGCCCCTTCCCCCCTCCCCCGTGGTCCCGCCCTCCCCGACCGAGTGACAGCCGGAAGGCCCCGCCCCGCCCGGTCGTTGACGCCCCCTGGCGGCCTTTAGAGCGCCACGCCCCGGTCGCGCAGCCAGTCAGCCCCGCCTCCGCGCCGCGGGCCTGGTTCTTCCCAGTTCGGGCCGTCCCCCCACCCCGAGGACGCTGCGTGGGCGGCCGGTGAGTGGGGAGGGGCGTAGCCGGGACGGTGGGCCTGCCGGGGCTTCCCCCCCCCGCCCTCCGCGGGGAAGAGAGACGCGGACGCGCCGGGCGGCGGGGCTGGAGCTCCGCAAGGGTGAGGGCCAGCGGAGGCAGGGGGATGTCGGCCGACTGACCGGCTGGGGGCTGGCGTCAGGCCGGGGCCGCTTCCGACTGACGCCTGGGGTGCCGGCCGGCCGCTCCGGGTGACACTTGGGGAGGGCGCCTGGCAGCCTCGCCTGGTGACTCGGGACCCCGGCGGCTGAGTCACGCCTCCCTGGCCGCTGCCGGGTTGCAGGACAGGTCCGGTTCCAGATCTCTGACCGGGGCCCACCGTGCGCTTTCCGTGACGGGGTGGATGGGTGGCGAGCGCTGTCCCCGCAGGCCGACCACCTGAAAATCCTGTCCCCACCCCACCCCCAGAGCTGGGGCGGAGGCGTCCTGACTTAAGTACCCTTGGGGGTTTCGTTCCCGCTCCAAACTCGCTCGTCACAAAACCTGGGCGTGTAATCGAGTCCTGCGGGTCCTAAAAAAGTTTGAGGCGCACTGTGAGGTGCCCGGTCTGTGTTTAAAGCACACCGGCCTTAGAGGACTAGATGTTTCCAAGGGCTTGTTCTGTCTAAACTTTTAGCAGCTTTAAGTGCAGCGGTGAACCAGGGTGAGCCGTGAGATGCTCGCTGAGGGGTCCTCCACCTGATGTGAGCAACTGAGTGTACTCGCATAGACTAACGGGCTGTGACTTTGCCGGGAGTATGGTTAATTAATTAATTAATTAATTTACTGTGTGTGTGGGGGGGCGCGCGTGCGCGCACGTGCGAACCACACAGGCTTGGGGAGGTCAGGACCACAGGTGCCAGCCCCTGCCTTCCACCTTGTTGGAGGCGGTGTCTTCTTCATTCTTTGCAGCTGGGCTGCCTGCTCCAGGACTAGGCAGTTCGGCCTAACGGCGTCTCACCCTGGAAGTTGGGGTTACAGAAGCGCTCCACTACCTGGCTTAAGGTGCATTCTCGGGGGGCGGGGGTGTGTCCCAAAATGAGGTCCTTTTGATGAGAAATGAGAGATTCGGAATAACGAGACCTGGTGACGTGGAATGTGTGTGTGAGTTCGTGTATGCGTTCGGGTAAACTGTAGTGTGCGTGCTGTGTGTGTGTGTGTATGTGTGTGTGTGTGTGTGTGTGTGTAAAGAGGTAAACCGGACAAGTTTGGAACACAGAAAAGAGGATAACTATAAATGCCCCGTAGAAATGTTCTGAACTGTATGACCTCTACGGACATCTTGATGACTTTTTTCCCCCTAATTTGTATATTTAAAAAAAGTTTTTTTTGCTTACTATTGTGTATGTGAATATAGGTGGGCACGTGCCATGGAATGTGTATAGGGGGTCAGAGGTCAAATATGGGAAGCCCATTCTCTCCTTTTGTGTGACCGAAGTTCTGGGGGTAGAACCCAGTCAGGTTTGCACGGCAAGCACTTTTACCACAACCACCGCCCACATCCTGCCTTCTCACCAAACCAATTTTTGTGTATACCAATACACATATTACATAATGGGGGGACTGTTCCGATATTTGTAGCTCTTTTAACATTTTCTTTAATCACTAAGAATTCACATCGAATAACCAATTACTCATTTAAAAATAATATTAGTATATTTCAGCCGTGTGTTGCATACATGCTTGGAAGTGAAGAGTTAGGGCTGATCAAGTGCCGGGTGTTTAAGTGCCATCTATGCTATTGTGAGAGCCAGTTTCTTACCAGTATATTCATAAATTATCTGTACTTTTCTGCTTTTACACACAATCACTCCTTTGCTTTTGGAAGATGCTGTCTCAGAATGCTGAGTGTTTGACTTGGTGGTGGTTTTTTTTTTTTAGCTGATTGTGTGTGTGTGTGGTTGTTGATTTCAACTTGACCCATGCTACCCTCATCTGAACAAATTCCTCCATCAAATTGACATGTACGAAAGTCTGTGGGGCATTTTCTTGTTTAATGATTAGTAGGGGAGGGCCCAGCCATTGGAGGGTGATACCATCCCTAGGCAGGTATCCCTGGGTGGTATAAGAAAACAGGCTGACAAAGCCAATAAGCAGTGTTCCTCCATGGCCCTACTTCAGTTCCTGTCGTGTCTTCCCTGATGATGGAAGCCAAACACACCCTTTCCTCCCCAAGTTGTTTTTGGTCATGATACTTATCTAAGCAATAGACACTCTCAAGACAGTGTTGCATGTGATCTGAAGCCATTGTTTTGAATGCACAGGAGTTTCATGTATACTTTTTGGAAAGGGAAAATAAGGGATTTTTTTTGAAAATGCATCTTAAATGATCTTTATTTCGAAATAATTTGGGTTTTAAAAATCTGGAAAAAACATCAAGTTCTCTTGTTCCAGCTTCCCTGATGTTAACTCCTTGTGTGTTCTTAGTGCAGTTTCTGAACGCAAAAACTAACACTGACACAATTCTATTTGTGACCTGAGGACCTCAGTCAGAGCACACCAGACTCCCGCTCACACAGGATCCAGTGTTGTATTTAGCTGTGCTGTGTCCTTAGCTTTTAACAAAGGCATCCTCCAGACCAAGTACAGAGCTGTGCCGTAGAGCAGGCATGACAGGAAGCCAGAGACCTTTCTGAATTTCATCTTCTGAACACCACGTCTCAGAAAGGATGAGCTTAATTCTTTCCTATGCACACAAGCTGCTAAGTGAGTAAGTCACACACTAAAGGGTGCCCTTTCTTGTGTGTATGTCTCAAGACCAGACGTCAACCTCAGGTGTGGTCTTCAGTTACTCTCTACCGTGTTTAAGTCGGGGTCTCTCATTGGTCCAGAACTCATCAGTCAGTTGGTTGACCAGGGAGTTCCCAGAACCCAACTCTCTCCACCTGCTCCGCTTTGGAATTAAAAGTTTATGCTTCAATGCCCAGAATCTTGATGTGGGGTTCTGGGGATTGAACTCAGGTCCTGATGCTTGCAATGGCCAGCGGTTACTGACTGAGCCGTCTCCCCAGCCCCACCATACAGCTTTACTTACACTCAGGTATCAATTCCAAGTCACCACGGCGTCACAGAACAGGAGGACTCATCAGGTGATCCAGGTGTCTTAACTTTTTATTAGGATAGGATTTAAAAGCAGTGTGCCAAGTGCCACCTCTCTCCAGATATGTTCGGCCCTGCATATGAAAATGACTGCCTTTCTTCGTGGGCATCCTTCTCATTTCCAGCGAGCTCAGAGACGCTCCTTTCTCCTCTCATGCAGATGTTCCTGTTCTTCTTAACCCTTGAGAGTGATTGGTCCTGTTTCTCCTGAACTAAGGCAGGGCCATGTGTGTGCATGAGTATGCACATGTGTGCATGTGCATGCATGTGTGTCTGTGTGAATAGGCTCTCACTCTGTAACCCAGGCTGTTCTGGAACTCTCTGTGGTTCAGGCTGGCCTCAAACTTGTCATCTCCTCCTGATTTAGCCTCCAGAGTGCTGGAATCAGATTTGTGCCACCAACCCTAGCTTCCTAAGATGGTTCATAAAGACAGTCTTGTGCACGGTTTCCTTCACAATCTAGGCATTTGTGACAATTCCACTAACTTAAAATCATGAAGAGCACAATCCCCAGAACACAGTACCCTGTATTCTTTCCTTGGTCTTTCATAGAATTTCTCCTCCCCCCACTCTGTCTCCATGCACACCCCCCAGCCCCCATGAACTCTGCCTTTCTCTGCATCTTGAGCACCTTTCAAATCCACCTCCCGTGGACCAAGGATCCAGTGGCGAATGTGAAAGCCAGGTGAGGTGTATCCACTTGTCAAGTAGGCGTCTGTGCTCCGCTGGTAATTCAGCACACCTTGGAAGAGACCACAGCCTAGCACAGCTGTCTGGAGCCTGCGCAGGGCCCCTGAGAAACCCTGGCTGCTCAGCTTTCTGGTCGTTCTTGTTGTTGCCTTGGTCTGAAGTCTTGACCAAGGGGGAAGGTGAACGCAGAAGGGAAGATCATCCTTTCCCCAGGGCCCTTGGAGGTTGGTCTGTTGAGTCTCGAGTACTTTTAGGAATGCTCCTGCCACAGCCGTGCCTGCGGCACACTAAAGCCTCATGTTCTTGTCTAGAATTTTGGTTCCACCTTTCTGTTCCCTCTGAGTGGTGATGGTGAAGCGAATGCCCATTATGACTCTTGGTGAAAGCAAGTCACAGGGTCTTGGCTGTGTTTCACGACGCTCCCCTTTCTCAACCTGTCAGGGCTGCCGGTTGGCAAGGTGGGGCAGGCATCCCCCCGAAGTTACTACAGTGCCTGTCACACCCATATCCCCGATGCATGCAGAGCACAGAAGTCCCCCACCCCCGACAGGGCCACCAAGAGGTATCCTTATATGAAGAAGGGGGACAGGCAGGAGGGGACGCATCAGTGCAATAGCAGTCTGTGGACAAATGCTCTAAGCAGAGGGCACTCCCACCTGGGATGTGTGTGTGTGGGGAGGATGAGGACTAGTGGTGGGAGAGTGGTCTGCTCCATAGGAAGCTATTCTCCTGGTAACCGCAGCTCAGCGGATGGCACAGTTGTGTGTGGCCGAGCAGAGGAACAGAAAAGTAGTTGGTCCTCACAGGACTGCAAGCTGCAGGGCCTGCTTCCCTTCCCTTCTCTCATGGTTTGCCCACAGCAGAGCCTAGGAAATCCCTGCACTTTTAATAGAACTAAAATTGTGTGTGTGTGTGTGTGTGTGTGTGTGTGTGTGTATTCGTGTGTTCATTCATGTGTGCATGTGTGCACTCGAGCACATGCATGGCAGGTGTACTTTCCCATGCACTCACATTCTGAGGCTACAGGAGGGCACTGGGATTCTGACTTTATCCTTCTCTACTTTATGCCTTGGGGACAAGTCTCTCACTGAAACTGAGAGGGTGGCCAGCAAGCCCCAGAGATCCCCATCTCCAATCTCCCATACATCTAGGGTTACTGGTGTGCATGTCTACGCCTGGCTTTTTTGTTTTGTTTCCAG